CGCCCCATTTTCTGTGGCCCTACGCGGCTCGGTACGCCGCTCACCAGCTGAACCTCTGGCCTCGCGTCTCTCGATCAGGGGCTTCACCGACCAGTCTTTGGACAGGGTCCCCTGGTGTTGCGTCGAGGTTTAGTGTCTGGGGCTGCTTGGCTCTTGTCCGCGACACCTCTGCGGACAAGATCTCGCCTCGCGCCGTCCCCTGTGTCTTCCTTGGTTTCCCAGAGGGCTCCTCTGACTTCACCTTTTACCACCCACCCTCCCACCGGTTCTTTGACTCTCGTGACGTCCGATTCAACAAGTCAGTCCCGTACTACGTCAGGTACCCCTCTCGAGGTCTCCCGGTTCCCCCCCCTCCCCTCTTCCTGGCTCCAGCTCCTCCTCCTCCCGACCCTACTCCTCCGGTACCCCCCCCTGTTCCCGCTCCGTCTGGTGTGTCCCACGCTACTCCCCCTCCCTCGGTACCCCCCCAGGTCTCTCCTCCTTCCCCACAGTCGTCCTCACCGCCTCCGCAGCAGCCGTCGCCGCTTCCTTCACCGGCCACTGCGGACTCTGAGGGTGTTGGTGCTCGAGGAGAGGGCTCTGGCGGTGCTCGCTCTGGGGGTGCTGGCGTTGGAGCTGTTCGTGCACCTACAGGAGCAGCCAGTTCTGGGGGTGCTGGCGTTGGCGCTGAGCGTGCACCTGCCGCAGCTGCCCGTTCCGAGGGTACTGGAGCTGGTGGTGTTTCTGGAGCTGGAGAGTCTGGGGCTGGTGCTGGCGCTACTGGGGGCACCACGGCTGGGGGTGCGGGTACACCTCCTACAGGTGCTGGTCGTGCTGCCGCGAGGGGTACTCGTTCTGAGGGTGCTCAGCCGGGTTCTGTCGAGGGCGGAGCAGGTTCTTCTTCGTCGTCTCCTGACACCACTCCTCCTCCTCACCCTTACCCGACTCGACACCAGGCCCGTCTTCGTCTTGAGCGCGAGGAGCAGCAGCGTTTGGAGCGTGAGAGGTTGGAGGTTCAGCAGCGGGTGGAGCGTGAGAGGTTGGAGTTGCAGCAGCAGCAGCAGCAGCAGCAGCAGCAGCAGCAGCAGCAGCAGCAGCAGCAGCAGCAGCAGCAGCAGCAGCAGCAGCAGCAGCAGCAGCAGCAGCAGCAGCAGCAGCAGCAGCAGCAGCAGCAGCAGCAGCAGCAGCAGCAGCAGCAGCAGCAGCCGCAGCAGCAGCAGCAGCAGCAGCAGCAGCAGCAGCAGCAGCAGCAGCAGCAGCAGCAGCAGCAGCAGCAGCAGCAGCAGCAGCAGCAGCAGCAGCAGCAGCAGCAGCAGCAGCAGCAGCAGCAGCAGCAGCAGCAGCAGCCGCAGCAGCAGCAGCCGCAGCAGCAGCAGCAGCAGCAGCAGCAGCAGCAGCAGCAGCAGCAGCAGCAGCAGCAGCAGCAGCAGCAGCAGCAGCAGCAGCAGCAGCAGCAGCAGCAGCAGCAGCAGCAGCAGCAGCAACAGCAGCAGCAGCAGCAGCAGCCGCCGCCGCAGCAGCAGCAGCAGCAGCAGCAGCCGCAGCAGCCGGAGCAGCCTCCGGCACCTGTTTCTGGCCTTCGGGCCCTTGGTCTCCCCTCCTCTCCTCCTGTGTTCGGTCCTACGTTTCCTCCTCCGGACTCCACTCCGGCTGTCTTCCCTCGTTCTCGGTCTCCTCCGTCCCCCCCTCCTCTCGCCCACACTTGGGCCTCTCGTCCTCCTCGTGCTCGTCCCTCGTCCCCTGTCACTGACCTCCGTACCGTGTTGTTTCGTCCTAGTCCTCCTCGTTCTCCTCCGTCTGTCCTTCCTCGTCCTCCTGAGTCGTCCCTCACTGCCTCCCTGTCCACTCCGGTCACTGACTACTACCGCACGTACCGCCCCACTCTCTCTCGTGTTCTCGCCTCTCTTGTTACAGACCCTCGTGCCTCTCCTTCCTCCGTCGCGGTCCTCACTGCCGCTGTCACTGACTTTACTGCTACGCGTCGCCTTGACTACGCCACTCGTGTTGTGGCCGCTCCTCCTGTCCGTCCTCTGTCCGCCGGGGGTGAGTCTGCCCTTGGCTGTGACGTCCTAGAGGACAGACAGTTTGAGCTAGAGTTCCTGGCAGCTGCTTCACCTCATCTCTGTGCCATGCTGCTCACTCCTGAGGGAGACCCCGACGCTCCTGACATTCCTACTCCTCGCACTTACGCTGAGGCAGTGTCAGGGCCTTGGGCCTCTCAGTGGAGAGCTGTCATGGACGCAGAGATGGCCTCCTACAGGTCCATCGGCACTTATGTTGACGAGGTTTCCCCCCCAGGGGCGAACATCGTTGACGGCATGTGGATCTTCAAGGTGAAGCGGCCGCCGGGATCTCCCCCAGTCTTCAAGGCACGCTACGTGGCTAGAGGGTTCAGTCAGCGTGAGGGAGTTGACTTCTTTCAGACCTTCGCGCCCACCCCGAAGATGACCACTCTTCGGGTGTTACTGCACGTAGCAGCGCAGAGAGACTACGAGCTTCACTCTCTTGACTTCTCCACTGCCTTCCTCCAGGGCCGCCTACACGAGGAGATCTGGCTGCGTCGTCCTCCGGGCTTCACTGGCACTTTCCCGCCTGGGACCCAGTGGAGCCTCAGACGACCGGTCTACGGTCTCTGCCAGGCACCCCGTGAGTGGCACGACACTCTCCGCTCTACTCTCTCCGACCTCGGGTTTGAGCCGTCTTCCGCCGACCCGTCGCTGTTTGTTCGTCGTGGGCGCACACCTTTCTTCGTTCTGGTCTACGTTGACGACTTGGTTTTTGCACTGGCGGAGGTGAAGTCCGAACTGCAGAAGAGACACACCTGCACTGACCTTGGGGAACTGCGCCGCTACCTTGGCCTGCAGATCTCCAGGGACAGAGCCGCTCGCACCATCACTCTGACTCAGTCACACATGGTGCAGCAGGTCCTTCAGCGGTTCGGGCTTCAGGACTCTTCTCCTGCCCCCACTCCTCTTGCTGTAGACCACAGACTCACTGGGCCTTTTCCTGACGAGCCGTTCGAGCCCAGTGGTCCCTACGCAGAGCTGGTGGGCTGCCTCATGTACCTGATGACGTGCACTCGCCCGGACCTCGCCTTCCCTCTTAGCATCCTGTCTCGCTTTGTTGCGACTGGGAGACACCGTCCTGTTCACTGGGCGGCGGCTAAGAGGGTGGCGAAGTACCTTGGCGCGACATCAGGCATGGGGCTTGTACTTGGAGGGACACAGCCAGTTGTACTCACCGGTCACTGCGACTCCTCCTACGCCGACGACGTTGAGACTCAGAGGTCTACGCAGGGTTACTGTTTCAGCCTGGGTTCTGGAGCTGTTTCGTGGAGGTCTACTCGGTCCTCCTCGGTTGCGACTTCTACCGCAGAGGCCGAGATCTACGCTGGGGCCCTTGCTGCTCAGGAGCTACGCTGGTTGACCTTTTTGCTCACTGACCTTGGTGAGCGGCCGAGCTCTGCACCGACCCTGTTTGCTGACAACAGGGCGATGATTCTCCTGTGTCGTGAGCCTCGACTGGAGAGCAGAGTGAAGCACATCGACGTCAGGTACTTCCTCCTTCGAGAGTTGCAGAGACGCGGGCAGGCTCGTCTGGACTTCGTGGCCTCCGAGGCCAACACTGCAGACATCTTCACCAAGGCTCTTCAGCCTTGTGACCATCAGCGCCGGTTCTGTCTGCAGTTGGGCCTCGTTGAGACTGGGTCGAGTAGACTGCAGTAGTGAGTGCTTGTCTCTTGTCTTTGCTTGTACTGCATATATTTGCATATACACTCTTGAACTGGCCTTGTGGCCGCTGTTTGCGCTCAGACTGTGTGGTGACGTTGTGATCCACCCTGAGCTTGTTTTGACTTCTGTTTGTGACTGGTCTTGTGACCTTAGGTTGCGTTTCTTGTTGCTTGGCATTCCCCACTTAGGCTATGGGGGTGTGTCAAATGTTATAGCCTATTGTGGGTCATGCTATATGGGGTACAAATAGTTAGGGTTAGGCATATGTACCCCAACCCAATCAATCCTACTCATTCCGCTGTAGCTACTTTCTGAGAGCTACGACCAACGTCACGGCATCGATTTCGACCAAACCTTTGCCCCCGTCAGCCGCCATACCTCTGTGAGGGTCCTACTCGCCATCGCTGCCACTAAGCATCTACCACTGCGGCAGATCGACGTAAAAAAATGTGTTTCTATACGCGTTGGTCGATAAAACCATCGCTCCATTGGCCACCTTTCTGAGCCTCGTCTACCCCTAGGTCCTCTCATAGCCTGTTTCTGCCTAATTTTATCCTCGTTTTTAGTTCCAACCTCGAATGGTTTTAAATTTTTTTTTTTTAACCTAGCACTCGTATGGTAACTAGAAAAGGTGTGAGGTGTTTTTTTATGAAAAGGTTACACCTTATGTCATTTTTCCTTCCATGTTTTGAAATTTATGGCGGGTCATTCTTTGCACGTAATTGCAGAAAACCCTACCCAACCATCTTTCGTTTAAAATAGACCGCCCTGGTTCAAGCCTAAACCTTTTTGAACCGCATTCGGACGTACTCTTTGACCTACCCTTATTGCTTCAAATCCTCTGCCATCTATCCCATCAAGTCGCGAAATTCGAGGCCAAATGACCAGAGCCTTTTCACACGGCACAAGTGTGTGCTGGCTGTCGCTGGTCACGTCACATTCTAGGGACGATCGCCGCACCACCTGCTTGCACGCGTGTCGGAACCACCACCTGCCACGCTCTCATTCGCTGCCTGGCCTGCTCCACTGGTTCGGATACGCCGCATTCGCTATGGCTCAAACCGCACTTATGCTCCTCCCGCGTCGCCGTGTTCACAGGGCTATTGCTCATGGCAGCAGATATTGTGGCAGGGACGGGCGATATCATTGTTTCGTTCACGCAAAGTTAGTGCTTTCCTCGTTTCTTCTCCGTTCCAGCACCACTCTTTCCACTCTCCTCCCTTGTCTCGCTCGCACCTCGCTCGTGCCGCATGCGGCCTGCGCTAGTCGCATCGGTCGCGCGCCAACGGCATGTCGCCCAGCAGTCCCCCGGCGTCTACATCCGCCCTCTGCCGCCCGCTTCGGGCCGGCGAAGATGGCGCGCGCGAGAGTGAGGGGGCAGGCGGGCGGCCCGTGGGCGAGCGGCGGTGGTGGTGGCGTGCGCGATGGCGCGAGGCGGCTGTGGCGGGGGCGCGACCGCAGGAGCGATGGGGGCACTCCTCCGTAGCGTGGGATGGCAAGCTGATCGTCTTCGGGGTGAGTGGCGGCGTGCGGGCGAGCGGAGGTGAGAAGCTGCAGTGGTGAGTCAGCCGTGGAGCCAGCGGTGCGTGCTTTGAGGTCACCTGAAAGGCTTAGGTCACCTGAGGCGTAGGTCCGGGTGAGAGGGGTAGGTTTCAGTGAAAGGGGTGGGTGCGGGTGGGCGAAAGGCAGAGGGAGGGATGGGTGGTAGCGTGGCGAGGATGCGGAGTTGACGCCACACCCGTGTCTGCGTGCGCTATCATCGCGACCTGCTGCTTCCGTGCGCCAAACGCACCTCCCAATCTCTGTCTTATTAAGACCCTTCTCCCTCCCTCCCCCCTCTCCCCTGCGCGTGACCGCAGGGCTGTTTCGGCGCGCAGCACTTCTCCACCGTGCTGGCGTTGGACCTCACCTCGCTCGCCTGGGCGCCCCTCTCCGCGCACGGCGACCTGCCGCCGCCCTGCGACTGCCACTCCGCGTCGCTGCTGTCTGGCGACCGCATGCTCGTCTTCGGCGGCACCGACGGCCGCCGCCGCCTCGCCACCACGCACCTGCTGCACCTGCCGTCCAGACAGTGGCGCCGCGTGGGGGGCGGGGCGGCAGGGGAGAGGGAGAGGACGAGGGGGTGTGAGCAGGGTGAGAGTGTGAGTGAAGTGGGTGCGATGGAGGAGGGAGTGGAAGGGAGTGAGGTGGAGGGAGGTGAGAGGGAGCGCCAGGGGGGTGGAGGCGAGATGGAGAGTGGCGTGAGCTGCATGGACGAGTTGGTGGTTCCAGGGCGGCAAGGGAGGAAGGGGGCAGAGGGGAGGCGGTGGCAGGTGGAGAGGCGCGGCAGTGACGGGTCGCACGTGTCGAGCAGCAGTGTGGCTCGGCACGGAGGCGAGGGCGAGGGGGGCGAGGGGCTGGTGTGGCCCACGAGGCACGGCAGTGGCGGCGATACGGAAATGCATGGCAGCAGCAGCGTGGCTGCTGGCGGCCGTGCAGCATGCTTCCGCGAGGGCCCCATGCAGCCCGCCTCATGGGATGAGCACAGCGCACTTGCTGCCGCGCACCCCCCTGCCAGGGAGAGCCACACGGCGGTGGTCGTGTGGCTGCCACGGCGCAAGGGGGTGGGAGCTGAAGTGGGAGGGGGAGCGGTGGAGTGGCGGGAGACTGTGCTGGTGTTTGGTGGCAGTGGGGACGCGGAGGGCGGCGACGGTGCAGATGGGAGTGCGGGGGAGGAAGGCATGGAGGGGTGGAGGCGGGGGGAGGAGCGCAGAGACGGAGGAGGAGAGGGAGGCAGTGCGAGCGAGGGTGGCGGCAAGGGGCGGTACCTGAACGACCTGTGGGCGCTGGACGTGCCCTCCTTGACTTGGCGCTGCCTCCATGCACCCCACTCGCTGCCGCCCGCCACCCATGCGCCACATGACCCGCCAGGGGACCCTCCCCCCTGTGCGCGCGACAGCCACAGCATGGTGGCGATGGGCGGGCGGGGCGAGCAGCAGGTGGCGGTGGTGTTCGGCGGCCACTGTGGCGCGCGCTACCTCTCCGACCTGCACCTGCTGCACGTCCCCGCCCTCTCCTGGCAACATGTGCGTGCCGCTTGGGCAATGGCTGTGGTGGGTGGGGTGTGCTGTGAGGGGGGGTGTGCTGTGAGGGGGTGTGCTGTGAGGGGGTGTGCTGTGAGGGGGTGTGCTGTGAGGGGGTGTGCTGTGAGGGGGGGTGTGCTGTGAGGGGGTGTGCTGTGAGGGGGTGTGCTGTGAGGGGGTGTGCTGTGAGGGGGTGTGCTGTGAGGGGGTGTGCTGTGAGGGGGTGTGCTGTGAGGGGGGGTGTGCTGTGAGGGGGTGTGCTGTGAGGGGGTGTGCTGTGAGGGTTGCATGTGGGGCGAATGTGGGGTGGGAAGAAAGCAGGGAGGAGCGGTTGGGGAAGGTGGTGTGGGGAAGTAGGGAGTGTAAGTGGGGGATTTATTGGGCAGGGGGCAGGTATGGGCCCGGAGAAAGAACGGCGGGCCGCCATAGATGCACTGCTCGATGCTCTGCTTGCCACTCGTGTTGACACCGTGGTTACCACTATGGCTATCCCGGCCACGAATGCTGCTAATGCTGCTTCAGCACTCTGCTTGTCAAGCTGTACTGCAAACTCCTCCCCCCCGCCCCCCACCCATGCGTCCCTCTCTTTCTCCCCACCTGACACCTCCCTCACTCGCATGCTGTCCCCCTCACAGGTACCGGCACCACCGGGAGCGGACTGGCCGGCGCCAAGAGCAGCCCACAGTGCCGTGGCGCTCTCGCCCTCGCAGGTGCGCACCGCACCGCACTGCGCCCTGTGCTGCCATTGGGGCCCTGTGCTGTCAACTGGCAGCTTCGTTTTACCTTCCACTTGGGGCCCGCCTAGCTTTCGCCCTCTTGCCTGCTGTGCCGCCCTCACAAGCATCCTCCGTCCTCCGTAGATCCGCCCACCCATTTCTCTCCACTCTCCCTCTTCGCTCCGCACTGCCTCCCTCCCCTTCACTTCACCTCATGCTGTCTGCTCTCCGCTCTCACCACATTTCATGGAAACACAACCACCACACAACACTATTGTGCCGCCATTCTTCTCTCCCATGACTTCCATCTCCGCACCTCCCACTTCCTGCCATACCCCGTTCTCTCCCTCCCGTCCGCCCCTCCTCTGCGGCGCAGATGCTGCTGCTGGGAGGGGTGGGCGACGCTGGCTACTTCAGTGACACGTGGCTCTTTGACCTGCCCTCTGCCACGTGGCACCAGCTGCATCCGCCAATCGAAGGCGGCCCTGCCCTGCTGGCATCACACGAGTCGATGGTGGAGCAGCTGGAAGCAGAGGCAGCAGCAGCGGAGGCAGGGGCAGCGGGGGAGGAGGGGCAGCAGCCGCGGGCATGCTTCTCCCACTCGGCCACACTGCTGCCTGACGGCCGCACCGTCGCACTCTTTGGCGGGTAACATGGGCAGGCGGGAAGGGATTGCTGAGGGGAAGGGGAAGGGAAAGGGGAGGCGGGAAGGGGGAGGGGGGAGAGTTAGGGAATGGAAACTAGGGAGGGAAGTGGTGGAGTGCATTCCGTTGCTCTGCTCACTGTGATGTTCTTGCCCCCACTCTCGGCACTTTCCTCACCTCCATGATTGTGTTGCCGTCACACTCGCCCCTCACTTCCCCTGCGTGCACCATCCATTGGCCTTTCCTATGTCTCCTCCTCGCACTTGCAGTCTCCGCTCTGCTACATTCATTTCTTGTGCTGCAAACGAGCCTTGCTTGGTCTTGTTCGTTCGCAATACAGGCATCTCCTACATGCGATCTGTTGTCGCCTCCCACCCACCCCATGCGTGTTCCCTCCCCCCAACCACCCCTTGCATGCGCTCTCCCCGCGCAGGTGTGGGCGGGACGAGCAGCCGTGCAGCGACCTCATGCTGCTGCACCTCCACTGCCCTGTAACCACCCACCCTCGCCTGCACCTGCTTGCCGCACCTGCTATGCGTGCACAGAGCATGGCATGAGTTAGGTCACCATTTGAAGCAAGGCACGCCTTGGTGCATTGCCGTCTGCCGTCTCATCTCGTCCCCTCGTTCTTCTCACCACAGGGTGCACCTTCCTCTTCATTCACTCAACCTCCCTGCTGTATTTTCCTCTCCTCACCCTCTACCCTTCCTTGCATTCCCTGTCTTCCTCCCTCCTCACTTTCCACTGCTCTCCCCCTCCTCTTCACCCCTCCAGCCCGCCAGTCCTTCCCCTCTCAATGCCCGTCCCCCATCCTCAACGTCTCTGCCCGCGCCTGCTGCTGCGCGCACGGGGGGCGAGGAGGAGAAGGGCAGCCGAGCAGGGGCAGTGGAGCAAGGAGACAGAGCTGTGGGGGTGGAAGAGCATGGGGGGGAGGCAATGGGAAGGTGGCGGGAGGGACGGGAGGCGATGGAGTGGAGGGCGGTGTGGGAGGGAGGAGGGGAGGAGGAGGCCGAGGTGGGCAGGCAGCGGACAGGTGAAGAGAGGAGCTTTCTTGATGAGCTGGCGGGGATTCTCAAGGACGGTGGGTGGTCTTGGTGGGGAGGGGTTGTTGGCTCAAGGTGTGCAGATGGATGGATGCATGCATGGATGTGTGTGGCCCCATGCTAACATAACATCATGGCAGTGCGTTAACATCATGGCAGTACAAGCATTATGTGTGCAAGTCTGTGCTGGTTTCATTTGTTTCTTGCTTTCTATCACTTACAGCATACTCCATACATTCAGCTTAAAGCCTCTACAAGACCAAGCCACACACATTTTCTCGTATTGTCATTCCCATGTTTCTCACAGGGACACGTTGAAAGCAATGTGCACTCGCATGCGCCTGCTATCACGTCTCACCAGGCTTTCCGTCTCCCATCAATGCACTCATCCTTTTTCATTCCACATCTCCCTTACCCCCCCACCCCACCCATCTTCTCCTGTTGCACTCCTCGCCTCCCGCCTTCAGATGCGCCCTCCACGTCACAGCCAGGAGCCACCATCCGCGCTGCCACCCTTCCGCAGTTGCTTCCTGCGGGTGGGCCGAGCAGCGAGCAAGCAGCACGAGGGGGAGCAGCAGGCGCAGCAGCAGGGGGCGGGGGGCAGGGCAGGGCGAGAGGGCGGCCGCGGCGCTACGTGGTGTCGGAGGCGGGCGAGCGCATGGTGAGCGCTGCTCTGCGAGCCAGGCAGGGCGGTGGGGGGGGAGAGGCGGGCGGGGGTGGAGCCGTGGGGGCAGGCAGTAGTGTGGTGGGGCACGGGATGGAAGAGGGTGGCAATGTGCGTGGGAAGGGGGAATGGGAGGAGGGAGACAGTGCTGGCAGAGACGGGGTTGGTGGTGGAGGGAGTGGTTCAGCGGACCGAGGCGCGGAAAGAGAAGATGCAGATACAGCAGGTGGGGCCACAGCAGGTGGCACGGCCCTGAGAGGTGGCAGCCGGCCCAAGCTGCCAGCGAAACGAGCAGGCAGTGGAGGTGTGGGGCGGCGCAGTGAGGTGCGCAGGCCAAGTGGGGAGGCAGGGAGGGGCACAGTGGAGCTGTCGGCATTCGGCCATGACAGTGTGGATGGACGTCTGCCCGTCGCCCCTTCTCCTGCTCATGACGGGCATGCGTCGCCGCAAGCATGGCAGCAGCACAGTGGCATGGCATGGCAGCAAGGGGGTAGCTTTGGTGCTGCAGATGCCACCGGTGCCGCTGCAAGCAATGGCGTGAGACTTGGTGGTTCAGTGAAGGACGGCCCTCTGCCTCTTGCAACCCCACCTGCCCTCCAAGTCACGCCCTCCTCTGCCCCGCAGCAGCCATGCTTGCCCGAGGCCGCCCCTCCCAGGCAGCACCTCGGCCTGCCGTCCCCCATGTTGGCACGCCCCATCATCGCTCTGCACGGCCGCCCCGTTGGGGTAACGAGGGCGCACAGCGGGGCAGGGCAGCACGGGGGAGGGGAAACGGGGAGCGGGAATGGCAGGGGTGAGGCATGGGCATGCGAAGGCGATGGGCAGGGAGCAGGAGGTGTGGTGGCGATGGAAGCAGGGGTGCAGGGCGGCGAGGGCTGCTCTCCCCGCGCCCACCTGCTGCATCTCGGCATCGGCCGCGTCGTGCGCTGCCCTGTAAGCCTCTGCTTTGCCTGCTCTCGCTTTCCGCTTAGTGGCGGTAGTGCGTCAATGCATGGCCAGTAGTACACTAGCCCATGTGCTCACCACTATCCACCTCTGCCACCCTCCTCCCCCCCCTCTTTACCTACCCTGCTGGCCAGCCTGGGGCATCGCTGGCAGTGCGCGTGGACGGGGTGTTTGACGGCGGTGTCACACTCGCAGCGCAGGTGGGCGCCCGCACGCTCTCTGGCGTGCTGCTCGCGCCGCCTGCTGTGAGTCCCTCTGCCCTTTCCACCCCCGGCTGCCAGCTGGGCCGCTAGTGCAGGCACCTCACTGTACCACTTCACACATGGCTGCATGTACCCACCACATGAGGTTTAACCCTATCCCATCTGACCCCACATGAGGTTTAACCCTATCCCATCTGACCCCACATGTTCTGCTTTCATTTGCTCCACACTCCCCTGCCCCACCATCTCACACCCAAGCCTGCCTTCCTTTTCCTCCCCTCCCGCTGCATACAGCTGAGTACGGTCCATCCTCCTCGCCCCGCCTCCCCAGTCGTCCGCACGTCCTCCTCGCTCCACCGTCACACCACAACTGCTGCTGCCTGCCTTCCCTGCTTCCAATGGGCATCTGACACCTGCCGGTACCACAGCCCCAGGCGCTGGCCCTGGCGGTGGCTGTGGTGGCGACAGTGGCGATGGCTCCCTTCACCCAGCAACAACGACGACGACGACAACAGCAGGAGCAACATGCAGTGTGTCGGCCCACTCCACCCCGCTGGCCGCCTCAGCTGACACACTCTCACAGAAGCCTGCTGGTGGCGGGAGGAAGCGACAGGGCGCAGCCGGTAGAGGCGGAGGAAGGGGGCGGGGGAGGCAGGGGGGGCGAGGGAAGAGGGCCAAGCAGAGTGGGGGTGAGGCGGGGGCAGGCGAGGCGGATATGGCAAAGGCGGGTGGGGAGGCATGGCGGAGCAAACCCCGGACAAGGAAGGGGCAGACGGGGGAAGAGGGCAAGTGGGCAAGGGGAGGGGTGAGGGAAGAGAGATGCGAGGAGAAAGTAGAAGAGGTGGCGAAGGGGGAAGAGCACAGGGAGATGAGGGTGTGGGAGGCGAGAGCGGAGAGTCAAAGCATGGTGGGGTGGGGGAAGCCGTTGGGAGGGGAGAGGAAGGAAGCATTGCAACGTGGTGAATGGGGGAGAGAGTGCGAGCAGCTTGAAAGCCGGGAGTGTCGTGTTGGGCAAGGGGCACAGCCGACTCACATGCAGCAGCAAGTCAATGCTGCGTCTGGTGTTGAGGCTGCTTGGGCCCATCCCAAATCTTCACTGCACCCTTCAGCGTCTCTCATGCCTGTACCCAACCCAACTTGCATGCTGCCGCCACGGGCCCTGCCGAGCAATGTGGCTCGGTGCGGGCGCGAGATTCAAGGGGACAGCGGAGAGCAGAGGAGGGCAGTGGGGAACACGAGTTTGCTTGCGGTACATGCTGCGACGTATCGAGCTGGCGGTGATGGTGGTAGAGGAGGAGGAGGAGGAGGAGGAGGAGGAGGAGGAGGAGGAGGAGGAGGAGGAGGAGGAGGAGGAGGAGGAGGAGGAGGAGGAGGAGGAGGAGGAGGAGTGGGAAGAAATGGGGAGGGCATGCAGGAAGGGGAGTGGGATGAGGAGGCAGTGCAATGGCAGGCAGGCACGCAAGTGAGCATGCATGGTGAGGGGCATGCGCACCTGCATGGTGAGGAGGGAGGGGATTCTGGAGGAAGGCCGAGTGGCATCGGCATGGAAGCAGGCGGTCATGGTGGCATGGGAAGTGGCACTCACGAGGCACGTGCGGAGGGCGCACTTGCCCTACACCTCTCACCCCGCCTCCATGCCCCTTGCGACGCGCATGCCAGTGAGGGCCTTGTTGACGCTCACAGCATCCGTGGCACTGCCCACCACGCCGGCTCCCACGGCATGTGCAGCATGGAGCAGTGGATGGCGGAGCTGCAGGCCGCACCGGGGCATGGCGAGGGGCATGGCGAGGGGCATGCAGGAGAGAACCTCGCAGGAGGGCTGCAGCGTTCTCAGCATGCTGCTGCTGGCAATGGTGGAAGCTCACTGCACAGCCAGGCGGCACACCCACACTCTCACGGCCAACTGTCGCCGGGATTGCATGCCTGGGGCGATTGCACAGGTGGCAGTGGCAGCGGCAGTGGCAGTGGCAGCGGCAGTGGCAGCGGCAGTGGCGAGTGGCAGCTGATTGCGTCGCCTCCCTCCCCCCTGCACCTCATCGGCCTGGACTCCTCCCTCCACTCCCCCTCGCTCCACCCCCTCTCACACGTCGCCTCTCACACGTCCCCCTTCACCCCCCCCTCACTGCATCTGCCCCCCCTGTCCCTGCCACCACTCCTGCTGCCGCCCCTCCACGTGCCCACACTCCCCTCATCCGACCACGTGGGGTCGTCCCCCGCGCCCCCCACACCCCACGGCAGCCGCCTCTCCCACTCCAGCGCTCCCACGCAGCACACAGGGGCAAGCATGGGTGGGCCGCAGGCTCAACGGGAGGCTGGGGAAGGTGCAGGTGGTATTGCAGTGAGCAATGGAGATGGGAGGGGGGTGCTTGGCGGTGCTCTCAAGGATGGCGAGCCGGGGTTGAGTGGAGGTCACAGCCATCATGGATTGAATGGAGGTCACAGCCATCATCTCGAGCTGATTAGGTTCTCTCCATTGCATTGGTGAAGATAATGTGTCCAATCTTTTACAGAATGGCTATTCCCGTATTGTCAACGTACACTTAAACATTTGCATGTGGACTCTACTCTGTAGGCTAGGTTGGATTGTTCTGTAGAGGGCATGGGATGTTACTTATACCCCCTTGGTATGTCCTCAAGAGTCTTTCGTTTCTGTTTATAATGTGGTACCGTATCAGATGTAGGTTAGGTTACTTGCGTCCTACCTCACTAGCTGCCCCTCTTGCACTCACAGCCCAACCTCTAGCGGCTCCCTCCGCCCAACCCCCCCTCCTAGCGCCCCGTCACACCCCGTCCGTCCTGCCCCACTGCAGCTCCGTTGCTCTCTCCCGCCCCCCTTTCCGCCGCTGCAATCTGCTGAACCCGCACCTATTGTAGTCGCGCCTGCCACACACACGCCCGCACCTGTCGCAGCCACGCCTGGCATGCTCGTGCGCACCTGACGCCGCCCACGCCTACCACGTGCACGCCTGCTACCCCACGCCCGAGCCCTCGCCCGCACCCACGTTTGCGCTCGTCAAAGTGTAGAGAAGACAATGAAGTCTTGAAATGACCTTGTTGATAACAATGAAAGAGAACAAGATTATTAAGATAGAGATGCGAAGAGTTTATATAGCAATCCTATCTAGCCATATACTTTGGGGGGTACAGTCCCCTACTAAGGTATGTGGTTGCAATTTGCCACTTACCTTAAATGCATCAAGGCGCAAGATTGCGCCAAGTGCGAAGACTTCGGTAGCGATGCAATTTTTTTATGTTTGGCGCGAGGGGTGGCTGAGGCATTGGTGCCACAGATCGTGCAGTACGCGAAGTCTAGAGGTGTGCTAATAGCGCGCATGCATTGTCTGGATCAAGTACTGGGGTAGGCTTTGCGGAGAGTCACTCTACAGTGTAAGTCAGCTAGACTACGGGGGTTGGCACGAACTACTAGGAGTGATCGTAGCTTTGCACATTCAAGGGAGAAATCGGCAAGAGTTTCCACTAGCAAAGTTGGAATTACAGAATGATTCAAGGAGCAATGACAGAAATGACTACATCAGGCACCTAGCAACTCTGCAGCTAGCCTGGTCGACCGCCAGCACTGCATGGTCGACCGCTTGCTAGCGTTGCATAGAGGAGCCGCGCCAGCACTGCAGAAGAGCGACCTGCCAACACTGCAGGTCGACGGCGTGCCAACACTGCAGTAGAACGGCTGTCCAGCGTTGCCCCGTAGAAGACAGCAGTGCGCACGCTCGCAGGTGCGCGCAGACGATTGGCCCAACAATCACTGTTGTTCATTCGTCGGCTGTTGTCTACGCCTGACGAGCCACATCGACTTCGGGATTTCAGCTCAAAGTCGCCTTCGTCATCGCGGCCTCGACGACGTTTGCGTGCCTCCGCAGAACTCGCCGAGCAGGTTACCTGGTCGACCTGGACACCACCAGCCACTCTGGTCGACCACCCAGAGTTCTGGTCGACCATCAGGTGCCTCTGGTCTACCACCAGGGCTCCGGTCGACCATAGGAGCTCTGATCGACCACCAGGTGTCTCGGGTCGACCACCAGGAGCTCTGGTCGACCACAGGCCCCTCGGTGGACCACCAGGTTTCCCGGTCGACCACCAGGTCCCCCGGTCGACCACCAGGGCCCCCAGACGACCATCAGGTGCCTCTGGTCGACCACCAAGGGCCCTTGATCGACCACAGCTCCTGTCGAGCCGCCTCATGGTCGACGGACCCCTTCCGTCGACCAGAACTCTCTGCTGATGTCGCCGAGCTCCCCTCGTAGACCTTTGCTCACATGTCAGGTCGACGGATTGCTCCGTCGACCTCCCCGTCGAACTTGAACTCCTAGTCAACGGCCCACCCGTCGCCCAGCCCAGTCAGCTGCGCCCATCGAGCACCCCTGGTCGACGGAAACCCCACAGTGACACCCTGCAGCTCGACGAAGCCCGTCGTTAGCTCCTTCATTGTGAACGGTCGGCTGCTTCTCCCGTACATCCGACCAAGTTGTCAACGTTGCCCAAGCGAGGGCGGGCCAACACTCTACTCCCGTTAACACCCCCCTGCCACGCTCACGCTTGGGCCTCCAGCCCACACGGCAGTACTCCACGGAGAAAACTCGTCCTCGGCGTGCACCCCACACACAGCACGCCGTCACCGCACCAGCCGTGCAGAAGGGCACGGCACCTACTGCTGCACCTCGTCGTCGCCGTCGCCGACGTCGGCCAGGCGAACTTGGCCGATGGCGACAGAGCACCGGTTGAAGGCCGGAAAATGCAGCGCCTTCGTCAGGAAATCGGCAGGCTGGTGGTCGGGATGTACTTCAGCACGAACTTCCCGCGCCTCACCATGTGCTGCAGCCAGGCGTAGCGTCGCTCCATGTGCTTAAGGTTGCCCGTCAACCCCAAGCCCTCAGCGACCGTGATGGTTGACTTGTTCTCAACGTGTGGGTGGTCGGCTTCTCAGCGTCGAGCATCTTGAACTCCGCAAGAAGGAAGCGGAGTCGGCGTCCCTCCTTGCCTGCATCCGTGGCCGCCACGTACTCCGACTCGGTCGATGACAGCGTCGCGCACTTGATGCGTGAGCTTGACCAGGAGACAGCGGCCCCTCCATAGACGAACACATAGCCGCCCGTGCTCGTCCTGCTCTGCTTGTCGCCCGCGTCGTCGGCATCCACGTAGCCGATCAGCTCCAGTGACTCTGGTCCACCGCCGAACTCCAGGGCGGTGTCGCGGGTGTCGGCGAGATAGGTGAGGCAGCGCTCGACCTCGCGCCAGTGCTGCTCGCTCCTCACCGTGAGGCCGCTCCCCAGCTTGCTGCAGGCGAACGCGATGTTCGACCTCGTCGTCGCCGCCATGAACTGCAGCGAGCCAACCTTCTGCCGGTACTCCTCCTCCTTGCGCTCCTGCGCCTCCTCGTCGTCGAATGTCAGCTCGGCGTAGGCGTTGACTAAGACCGGCGTCTTCGAGATGCGGCCGCCTTCCTCCTCGTTGATGAAGCGTCTACGCAGCTTGTCGGCGTAGTTTTGTTGGTGCAGCCACAGCTTCCTCGCTGGCCTGTCGCGCACGATCTCCAGCCCAAGGTACTTCACCACCGGCGAGATCTCACGCAGCTCGAAGGCGGCCTCCAGCAGCTCCTTCAGCTCCTTCAGCATTGCGGTGCTGCTGCTAGCGGCGAGCAGGTCGTCGACGTAGACCAGCACCCAGCAGGTCACTCCGTCGTCGCCGGTCTTGAAGTAGAGCTCTGCATTGACCTGGCTCTTCTTCCAGCCTGCGCCCAGCAGCACGCTGTCGAGAGCCCTGTACCATAGCAACAGCGACTTCTTCAGCCCATAGAGGCTCTTCAGCAGCTTGCACACCCGGCCGGTTCCGTCGTTGAAGTAGTCCGGCTGGTACATGTAGAGCACCCTGTCGAGCTTGCTCTGCGGGAAAACGTTCTTCATGTCGAGCTGCATCAGGTTGAGGTCGAGGACGACGACGATGCTGAGGAAGATCCTCAGCGTGATGTAGCTGCTCACCAGCGAGTATGTCTCGTCGTAGTCGGCGCCGTACACCTGTGTGAAGCCCTTCACGACCAGCCTCGCCTTCTCGCGCTCGACGGTGTCGTCGATGCGGTACTTGGTCGTCAGCACCCACCGGTTCTTCATGATGTTCACCCCGCGTGGGCGTTCGACCAGCTCCCAAGTGCCCATGCCGATGAGGCTGCCTCGCCCTTCCAGCGGCCAAGTGCCCATGCCGATGAGGCTGGCCTCGCCCTTCCAGCTCCCAAGTGCCCATGCCGATGAGGCTGGCCTCTCCTCTTCCATGGCGGCCTTCACCGCCTCGCCCTTCCAGCTCGCCAGCGCCTCCTTCACCGTCATCGTGGCTGTCGAGAGTTGAACGGGTGAAGAATTGACCAAGGAAAGAGAAAATACAACAGAATATAACAAATTTCAACAAATAGGAAATGTAACACCTATACTAGCATAAACTAAATCCAACATCTAGACTAACATATAAAATATATGTTGACACACCCCCATAGTCTAGGTGACGGAAGTCCTTTGGAAGGCTCACATATCTCAGGGGTGGGTCTCAAGGACACACACAGTCTGAGAGCAAGCAAGGGTCAAATGGCCTTGTCAGCAAGAACAAGCAAAGGTCACAAGACCAGTCCACAAGAACAAGACAAATCTCAAGGTGGAGCTCAAAGTCACCACACACTCTGAGAACAAGCAAGGGGCCACAAGGCCAGTCCACATACAGGTATAAAGAAAATAAAAGATGCAAGGGTACAACGCAAATAGGACAATGCATCTCTACGTAAGCAAGTGAGGGCGGGCAGGCACAAGGCCAAGCTGGGTGCAGAAACGCTAGTGGTCACAAGGCGGCAATGCCTTGGTGAAGATGTCTGCAGTGTTGGCCTCAGAGACCACACGTCGTATGAGTGTCTGGCCACGCTGCTACAACTCATGTAGGAGGAAGTAACGAAGCTAGATGTGCTTCGCCTTCCCAACCAGTCGGGGCTCCTCATACAACAGGACAGCAGACCTGTTGCCGGCAAACAAGACTTGGGGAGAGCGAGGCCGCTCACCAAGGTCGGTGAGGAGGAAAGACAGCCAGCGAAGCTCCTAAGAGGCCATGGCCGCAGCGTACACCTCTGCCTCACAGTTGGAACCGGAGACGAACGACGCCCGAGTTGACCGCCACGAAACAGCACCTGTCCCGAGGCTAAAGCAGTACCCCTGTGTAGACCAACGCGTCTCCGCGTCGTCGGCCAACGACGAGCCCGAGTAACCTGTGAGTGTAACTGGCTGCTTCCCTCCAAGGACAAGTCCCATGCCTGATGTACTCGCCACATACTTCGCCACCCTCTTGTGAGACGGATGGTGTCTCCCAGGCGCAACAAAACGTGCAAGGACGTTAGGAAGGTAAGCAAGGTTTGGGCGAGTACAGGTCATCAGGTACATGAGACAACCCACCAGCTCAGGATATGGACGGCTGGAATCAAATGCCTCGTCCGAAGGTGGA